TATTTTTGCAACTTGAATTTCAACAAGGTTTGAGAAAGTATACAGTATCACTCAAATTTTAATTTAAGAAAGGCAAGCGTCTTTAAAAGACGCGCGAAAAGATACACTGAAAAAGTCTGAGAAAAATGTCTGATTGGATTAATTAAAATTCTAGTTGAAAATGGACAAATCAGAATTTTCTGATTTCGACTATTCTAATTGAGATAACCGGAATTTTGATTGATATAATCAGAATCTTTTGGTTCGTTCATTTCAGACATTTTTCTCAGTCAGCATAACATTTCGTTAATTTGCACAAAAACATTGTTGTAGCTGCATACGTGTTGGATGAACAAACGGATTATTTTATCAAGTTTTATTTATTAAGGATTTTCGTGAGACGCGTCTCCTAACTCTATATATTTATATCTTGACACACACAACTCCCATCTCTCTCGAAGAATTTTTCAGTTTTCAGTTTCCTGAGTAGAGAGTGCTTTTCTCCCCTGCTTCAGAAGTTAAACAAACGGTTTATATAAAGTATCGATACGTAGCCAAACACACATTTCCGACGAAGTTCCATTGACGGTATAAGCAATTTGTTTTGTCGAGCGGAACTTGCCGATACCGATATATATGAGCTGAGTTCTCTGCAAAATGCTGCTGCGGCTTGGACATGCTTCTTCCAACAATAAAGTGGCCAAAGATGTACAACACGTTGCTGCATTGTAGCGCATTTTCATTCAGATCTATTACAGCGTAGAAATGTGTCGTGTAGCAGATGATGCTATTTAAAGCGTCGCACCGCAGTTATGCGAAAAATAAATAAATGTAATAAATGACAAGCAATTTCTCGTTTATAAGAAAAGTTCTAAAAAAAATGTGAGTTTGAAGAAAATCACACGGTACATTTATGTCGCAGAGTTTCATAAAATTTATTAAGTAATATGAACGTTATCGCGTGAATTTTCCAATCTTCCACATCTTCGTTTTTCTTTTTCATATCGAGGAAGTAATGCAAGTTATTTCATGTACATGTCACTAATCGGTCACATATCTCGTACGAGTGTAAGAAGAAAAGCTAGTATGTGTACGGACAATCCAGAAAATGGTGTTCTGATCTCATACCGGAAAATAAGATATCTGTTCTATGTGCATACAAAGGGAACGACACTTTCTATGCATGGAAAAATGGACAGAATCTTATTTCCATTTTCCAGCGCATCTATATCCGCGTTGCAGAGTATACTCGCGAGAGATTCACTTGAGGGAACGAACCCGCGCAGATCTCAGATTTGCGTGCGATCTTAATCAATGCGACACAACAATCTTTGACGATTCAAAAAGATTCTAAAGGCTTTTATGATTTATTTCATTCGTGTTGTCTATGCTGAAGATAAAACACTAACCTCCGAATAATTCTAATAGTATTTTTCATTGATAGAACTGGTGCGCATACTAAAGTGCACATTAAAGCCGTTATATACTAATTTATGTAAAAGTGAGACATCTAAATTGATAAAATGCTCAATGTACATTTTATCAAATTACGTACAACGGCTTTAAAGTGCGCATTGAGTGCGCACCAGTGAAAAATGCTATTAGTACACATGATTGAGTCATTCACATCCTGCACATTTCATAAAAAACCTAGGAACATCAAATAATTAATATTAAATCTCATAGGACTGTACATGTGAGAACACAACTAATAATTAGTTGTAACATTTATATGCAATTTTTTTTAATGTACAACCTCATAAATATTTTATAAAGATATTAAGGTAATGTAAGAATCATTTAATATTTTTTATATATTTGTTAAAATGATGAAAATTAACTCGAGACAGATGAATGACCACCGTGTGTAGTAAAGAACCGGAAAATCATAGTGTGTACTAAGAATTAAAGGCACTTAATAATTCATGATCGCGTTGAACGAGGTACGACAAGTATTTTAGGGTAATGTTATATATATGTGCCTCGTCGGTTGGTACAACTCTCACCCTCATCCGCTTCCGTCTTTCCGTTTAGAAAGACGTGTGCTCGCTACGTTTCCTTTCTATCCCATCTTCCTTTGGTCTCGCGGTAATACCCGAATTTTGAACATTAGTTTGCGAACCATTTAGCACAACTACTCGACGACCTCGTCTGTCTCTCTTTCTCTTTCGCTCTCTATCTGTGAAAGCAGTTCGAATCACGCAGCCTCTGCATATATTGTGCACTCTCTCTCTCTCTCTCTCTCTCTCTCTCTCTCTCTCTCTCTCTCTCTCTTGCTTACATATAGATTTAACCGCAACATTCTCGCTACCGACACGGCATAGTCATTGTGCATTAAGCTTGACGATGTGCCTCTTCTCCAGTTCCCTCCCGACGGATATGACGGCTTCACTAGGAGTAATTTCACCAAGAAATTAGACTTTCTTGCCACTCACGAGATCTGTTTAAACCCTAGGATGGGACAATACAGGGAATATCTCCAGATAATTTTTTAACCTGCTATTTTACGAATATATTTACATTTTTATAAAATATTTTGGCAAAAATGATACTTTTACTTTATTTTAAAGTAAAAAAATATAATATAATATAATATATTATGTAATATATGTAGTAACACAATTCGTCGCTTTGTGATCAACTAAGAATAGTAATTTAATTATATTTTTTTATTGCACGCTATGCGTATTTAAAAGAGTAAAGTTTAATCATCTTTATTAAATAAATTTAAAATAAATTTCACTTTTTTACGAAATAAATATGAGTGGTCTACTCAATTACCTCCGATGTTTTGTATAGCAAAAAAGATATATTAAAATAATACGTGACTGATTTCAATTGTCTTCTCAAAGACAAGAAAGTGCCATTAAGTTTGCCGCGCACACAAATCAATTACACTAAGCGCTTCTTTTTCATTATCATCCGCTTTTTTCAAGCCCGTTAAGTCGTTTATAATGTCTACGTAGTGGTCGTTTTACGCAACACTAAATCTAAATTTGCTTTTCTTAAAGGACGATTACTTTAGAATGCAGCGATAACAGAATTTGCGCCCGGAGAATTTTCCAATAAAATCAAGTAAATTTCTGAAATAACGAAGTTAATGTTTAATTATAAATCAAACCTGTCCTGTATCGTCCAACTGGATGTATCATTTGTGGCGAAATATATGTACGACAAAAATAATATGATATTTAATTTGATGAAAAATTTAATGGAATTGTCTTTAATCGATCGCTTGGTAGTCCATAACAGAGTTACATTAAAGTCTTTTGAAATATTAGCGAAATCTATTTGTAACAAGTTACATGTCGTCTAACAAACCTTCGCAGGTACAAGAATCGGCGAATTCAATTAAGTATATCAAGCGCGCAAAGTTGATTCTCGAAAACGACGAGAAACGATCGTCAGAAGGATTCTTCCTTGGAATGATCCTTCTCTCCCGCAGAGAAGTAGCTCGTTTTAGATTGTGGCTCACGACGACGACCTTTGCCATCGCAATTATTTAGTTATCCTTGTCAAGAGGAGTTAACACCCGCAATTTTAAAGGTGCGATAGGAGAGACGCTATTATTAGCGTTGTTTGTGTTATTCCATCATCATCGTTTATTAGACGTAAAACAAGAATAGAATAACACAAATAGCGCTAATAGCGTTTCCCCGAACACACTTTAAGACTCTATTGCCGGAACTTGATCCACGCGTGCTTGATTTGATTCTACACACAGTTTCCAGCATGAGAAGCCGCGTCCGGCATCCGCGGCTTCCGAAGCTCCCCGAGATACCAGCAAATTAATCTGAAGCCGAAGTTCGGCAGTTTACTCGACTGCAAGACTCTCGTTCTCTTCCTCGTTCGCCGTTTCCCTCCGCGATCGCGGTTTCATCTTGCAGAACGCGATATTACTTGTGAAAACAAGTAATAATGGAAGAGAGTGATATTATCCGATTGATGTGAAGCGATTCTCGTTTCCAGATCAAGTTTTGCGTTAAATTAACCATCAAGATATTTCTCTCGTATTTTCTAAAGGATCGAGATCGAAAAACTTTGTTCTCAAAGACGGAACGAAATGCGCATCAAAAACATCGATGAGTGTTTGAACCGATAAAGCTTATTTCGAAACGCGTGCGATATTTTGTTTTCAACTTTGCTCGATAAAGTTTTCTGTGTCAATTTAACTTAGCGCATTATGAATTATGGAACATAATTTTTTAAATAACAAATTAATAAGTTATAATCGTACACGAATGAAAAAACATCGTAAAACAAATATAAAAGTTAAATTTTATTATAGTTGAAAAATCAATTTTTACCATTTTCGTTCTGAATTAAAACGACACGGCAAATGCTGTATACACAAAAATTCTCATTATGTTTTGTGTTTTAATTATTTCTAATATTCCAATCATAATTCAAGTTACGAGTATTTTCAATGCGATATTTGCATGATAATCAAGTAAAATATTATATTCTTCCAAACTATAAATAATAAAAAATTCATCAATAATCGATTGTGCAATCAATATTAAAATGATGGTTCGATCACTTGACTTTTTTGAGGTTTGAATCGTCATAAACGCTAAATTTTAGACACTTCAAACACTGTCCAAGAGTAGCGTATCAATTGATAAAATGTACCAATCTGATCGAAAAGTTTTCATGTGCCAGTTGGCGACTAAAATAACGATTTTAATAAAAATTATTCAATGTACTTGACTAGCTTCTGAAAGATTATACAACATTTATAGTAGCCCATCGTACCTTCAGTTTCGAAAATGGCGCCCGCTTTCACCGGCCGTCGTCGAGGGAAAACTTGTACAAATTATAAATATGTAAATGACTTAAAATGACTGAAACTTCGCGAAGAGCGACCACCAGATATTAAAAAGCAATCGCGCGTTCCCCCGAACACAGCATTTAGAAATATATAATGTTAGACCAAACTTGGCGCAGAGGAACGGCGGGAAGTGGGAAATGCAAGGGTTTTAAGGTCGTTAAAAAAAAGTTCCTTGTGATTTGTGACTTACCGCGGGCACACACACGCGACGAGGTTCAACAGCGCAGCGGGTCGGCGATCAACGCTGTAACGTTCCTCGAAGACATAACTGTTGCTTCCCGCAGGTAGTGCCGGGCGTCGAATGGAATGGAATATAAGTAATGAATATAAGTAACGCTCGGCTGTTTGCGCGTTCCGCTCCGAACCGTACCGGCAGATAGACTGTGCGCGACTGTGCGTCCGCCACTCTCGTGAGCTCCCTTTTATAGGTCGTCGCCCGCGCGTCTACTCAAACGTCGACACTCGCTACTTGACGACTAACGTCCCTCTGCTACGACGGATCCTGCGCGCGTTTTTTAGATGTGCACAACAAATTTTTAATTAACAAAATATACAAAATGATTTAATATGATACTTAACTATAAAATATATATTTTCTCAAAATGTAAGCGTACTTCTTCGAAAGAATTATTACTGTCAAGAATTTCATAGCTAAAATAAGTTTTATTTTTCGATATATTTTCAAAAAATTAAAATATAGTTCTAAAAATAAACAATTAAAATTGTAATATATAGTTAAAGATAATATAGTTGTGATTAATATCACGAATAGATCGTTAAATCGTTTTTTATTTTTCAGAACATTTAAATCCATTTTAAACGATCTAAAATTTATGTCAGATTTTAGGATAGAATTCTATTTATATAATAATTTTATGTGCTATATTTTTCTTTTGAATTTTCAAATGTTTTACGCAGTACGTAAAATTACAAATAGAATTTTATTTAGAATTTTTACACGAATTAGACCGCCTAAAATAAGTTTTATTTGTGAGTTTAATTGTAGTTAAAAGTCGATGATTTA